TTCATTCACAGAGTTTCGCATTTCACTGGACTAGGCATGCAATCAATCAATCAATCAATCAATCAGTGGTCACACATTCAACATGATTAGACTCCGTCCCGTTTAATTAGTCCGTGGTCAGTGAGAGCCGTGAAAAAGTTGTTAACACCGGGGCCAACACGGCAATTGTTTGTGCCGTGTCCAAAGTGGTTTAGATTAATGGTTAGCTTTGGCTTATAACGAAGAGAGGTGGTTAAGTAGGTCATTTTCACGTGTGCATGTCGCTTATCAGACTTTTAGTGGTGGCTCTGCCTTTAGAACTATAACTACACTGGAAAATAAATCAAAAAGTATAGAATAAATCGGAGAAACTTTAAAGTTACTCTTAAGAATATTAACCAAAACACATGAACTTTTGATTTTCCAATATCTTAAATATCAAACTTCCATCCTGATTCTTTCCACAGTGTATCTAAAATTCTGTACTCCGCCTAAAATTTCTCTATTAAAAATTGACTCAGTTTCATAATTTACATTTCCCCCACACAGACATAACCAAAATTTTTGTTTGGGGTGAATGGAGCCCCGAAAAGAGGACATAAATAGCTTCCCAGTGGGGCATAGATAAACCCTCAGACAGAGTTCCACACACAGAGCCTCCCTCTCTTAGCCCCATTCCGGCGACCTCGCTGCGCAAGACGCAGACAAATTATGGACAAATTATGTCGACCTGGAAATGAGCAGCGAGGCAAATGCGAGCTTGGTTTCAGCCTCATTATATAGCTGGCTGCTTCCTCCGTTGTCCCACTTCCTTGCTAGGGCTAGGGCGCCCACCCACTCGCCCTTCTGTTTGCATGCGTTGTCGTCTGTTTGGCTTTTGGCTTTGGCGCTGCGGCTTGGCCATATTTAAATCGCAGGAAGTCAGCGCCAGGTTAGCTACGGGCAATACTATCCCATGTGCTCCTCTATACGTATTCCTATGTATATATATGTGTGTGTGTGTTTGTGCCTTTTGTGTGCGTGTGCTGGTGGCCACTTCCGGTCGTTTGTCGCCATTTTCATAATGTCTGCCTTTGGCCCGTAGGCGTTTGTTGATTTAGTTTCGCCTTTTATTTCTCGCACCAGCAACCAGCTGACTCTGGTTTTATTCCTTCTCTTTATTATTTCTTTTTTTTTTAATTTAACAACATGGCAAATATTTAGGTCGCCACCAGCGCATTTTGCTCGATTTTAAAAATGCAATTCAAGTTGCAAAAAATATATTCTCGAAAATGTTTTAAATTTGCTTTTTTTTTTATATTGCGTCAAGGGTGCTTGGAGTGGGCCCCACTGCACAATTTGTTGTATTATTTAGCGAAGTTCACTTGAGCGTGTAGTTGAAATGAAAGTGGGCATGGTCCAGGCGCCGGAGGGCAAGGTAAGAGTATAGCGCGAGGTAGGATGGATAAGCCGTGTCGGCAGTTTGCCGGAAATTGAGGCAGGAAAAAAATATAAAACGAGGACCAAAAGAAATTGTTGCAGTTGCAGGTGCAAAAGTGGAGCTCGACCACTCAACCTCCCCGCTCATCCCGAAAATTTTCGTACGCTGTAAATATCAAGCATAAAATATGCAGCAGACGTGAGACAGGCTTTTAAAATATTGCTTAAATTTTTATGGTACGAGGAGAGAGGAGAGGCAGGAGGCAGGATATTCCAGCTAAAGGCAGGATTTAATTGGAGTGCCCCGGTAGCGGCGTTTGCATTCGCCTGTCTGCTGGTTGCCGGCTGTCGGCTGCTTTAAATTAATTTTCATTTAGCCAATCAATTTGCATTCTCCCTGCTGTCAAATAGCTGCAAATCTCCTGACAAAGGCAGATGCTTATATATCTATATAGATGGACACACACACACACACACACACACACTATCTATCAATCTAGCTATCTATCGCAGGAAATGCAAATCAAATTCAATGCTGTAAAAACAAGTGCAGGAAATCTCGATGGGAAAGCGGAGTGAAGCGAAATGAAAAACGTTTGGCAGTTGGAAAAGCATGTCAAGCGACTAAATTACCTTTATGCTGGGTGCCACTCACTCAACCCGATCACTTAAGTTTTCTTCTTTGGTTTTCCGCTTTTCCTCCTCCACATGTTTATCGATTTAGCCAGGCGACAGTTTTTCCCCAGCAATTTTCGCGGTGGCATGAGGGTGTAGGTTTTGGGTTCTATACACCATTTCTTCTGTTGTTTCATGTTGCTGACTTTGCTTTGTTTGCCGACTCCTCAACCGCAATTCATTTCATTTCAATTGCCCCATAAAAAAAATATTCACTTATATATCTGTATGTGTGTGTGTGTGTGTGCTGCACTTCCGGTTCCTGCTGTGCCACTGTCATTCGTCCTGGCTGCGTCTTTTTGCCTCGCTTTTACCACCGATTTACCCTGGCCCGGCCTGCATTATGCATGTTCCTGGCAAATTTAATGTGATTTACAATTTAGACGATGTGCAGACATAAACGACACACAACACCAAGTGAGACGGGTCACAGGAGGGCAAAAAGGACAAGGAGGAGGCCAACCAAAATGCTCGAGGGTCATGAACTAAGTTTATTGTGCACATTTAAATGAAATTGCTGCGCTCAATTTATACGCTAAGCGCCCAAAGGCATTGCCAGGTAACTTGCAATGAAAAAGTGAATACAAAACAAAAAAAGGCGAATGAAAATGTTGATTTTTCATGGTCGAATTTAGACATACACTTTAGTTTAGAGAAAGGAAAACTTAATTAAAAAATCAATATAAAAGTGCAAGTCTCTGACACAAATTCGGATGAAATATTTAACAAATAAATTTAATAAAATTTATCATTAAGAAACGTTCTTATTTTCATACAACTTATCCAATTTTATTATTAAATTATTAACAAATAAACAGTTAAATATATTAATTATAATTTATTAAATCAATTTAAGCCTGAAATGTTTCACAATTTTCAAACTTTAAACTGCTTTTGCAAGCCAAAGCACTTTTTAAAAGCGTAGAAAAAGTGGGAAAAATATAAAAACTATCGCCGCAGGGCAAAAAAACATTCAACCAACTTCACACCGACTCCACTCCATTTCCCAGGACTCCAGCTCCGGTTCCAACTACCAACTACCACTGCCACTGCCATCGCTTATTCATTTCATTTCATTTCGTTCGGTTTGGTTAGGTTTTGTTCTCTTAGCAATTTCCCTACAGCTCGACCACCTTGTTTTTTGTTATTGCTTAACATTGCCATAGTTTTATGGAATATCCGTGTTGTCCTTGCTGATGTTGTTGTTGTTGCTGCTATTTCTATTGGCTCCCCTGGACTGGCATCGTTTTTGAAATGTGTGCATATTGTTGGCATAATTGACTGGGTTTTTGTCAATGGTTTTTTGTTTGCTCCCCGGCTTTATTTTTTTCCTCTTCTTCTCAGTCGCTGGTTTAGGTTGTAGGTCCTAATATGCCATTTGTTGACTGTTTCTATAGGCATAGGCAAATGGGTTCACTGACTAGCCAAGTGACTTGGAATTTGTCGAGACATTCTAAGGAAAAAGCAGTCAGGAATTATGACTTAGCCAGATCCATATCACAGGGTCTTATATTTGAGATTGGGATAAATTCATGCTCTTAAGTAGGAAATAATGAAAAATAAAATATATATAGGTAGCTGACTTTAATGTACGATAAAAGTTAATAGGAAAAGTTACGAGATAACTCCTTGGACTATGTACAACGGGGTGTTTGTAGTCATAATAATATCCCGCACAATTATGTCTTAAGAATATTAACGAAGATGGTATCTTTACCCTCCTTAATCGTTCTTAGCTTTCCAAGTTCTTTTCTTTTCCCTATTTCCCTTTTGTGGTCTGTTCAGCTTGGGAAAAACTAAACTTTTCCTCCTCATCCCCCCATACAAAAGGAGACCCCACTCACATACATAAGTAGAGACACTCTCCGCCGCCGACAATCTCTCAATAAACACTTGCACAGCTCTTAATTACCCAATGCAAACTTGCTCAAGTAACACAACTTGTCCCTGAGGTGTGTGTGCGTGTGTGTGTGTTGGAATTTCTCTTACTTGCTCTTCTTCAGCAGGTGATTCTGCTTCTTTGACCCATCTCTACACCCAGCAACTACACCTGCACCTGCACCCACTTCCTGGCGCGTCTCCCCCACTTCAAGGCTAGTCTTTTTTCCCAGGCTCTCTGGTGGAGAACTTCGCTTGACTGGCTGTCATACAAGTTTGTCAGCTTGTTTGGCTGCGTGTTAAACAAAAACGTGGCAACAACTTTCGAGTCAAAGTTTTCATGACTCTTTTGTCAATTACCGTTAGTTAGCAAGTGGGCGGTTTGTAAGGTGGCAAGGGTAGTTCCAGAGTTTGCACTGCTTAAGACTATGCGGCCACACATTAGGCCATTGACAAGGCGATTGGGAATGTCATGTGGCAGAGATCTTTCTTTGTGTCTTTGCATTTGAATTGAATCTACTTGCCCAGGTGCACTGGGGAAATAGTTTTAAGAATAAATCAAAAAGAAAAGGGAATCCCAACACTAACAGAAATATGTATAAAAATGCCTTAAAAACCTTAATTACTATAATTCAGAACACAAACTTAAGTAGATATTATTTTTCTCTGTGTAATTTGCTTTCCGCTTTCCCAATTAATTCCCATCTTAGCAAAACTTGGGCTATTCGTTTGCGTAACCCAAGCAGATAAATGGAAGTTCTCCTGCTTGTGTGTGTCTCTCCCCAGCTAATCCATCATTATTGATTGGCATTAAGTTGTTGTCAGTGTGTGTGTGTGTGTGTCTGTCATGGCATTATGTAATGGCCTTCGAATTAATGAGCATTTATTTATGGCTGAGCAGCGACTCCAAATCCCCCAAAACGAACTGGCTTAGTGGGCAAATATGCGAGCATTTTAATTAAAACCCAACTAACCACATGAAACGACCTCTATTGCCGACTCACTCTCTAACTCTCTGTCTATCTCTTTTTCTTTCGGTTTAATTGCAGTTATCACTCGGAGGACGAGAAAGGATATGGCTAAGCGTCAGGATGGCAGGCAAAAGGATTTGAAATTACATTTTTAATGCAGAGCGGGCAAGAGACAGAGAAAAAAAGGAAGAGAGATCGCGAAATGAGCAACACGTGCGCGCTTTATTTTAAATATTTATAAACAAACACAGAACACACACTCACTCCTACAAACACACACACACACTCGCACACTCTTGCGCGCATTTAGGTGACCAAAGTTAAGCCTCGTCAAATTCTATTAAAAATTCATCTTAACGGTTATACGTTTTTCGTACAAACAGCAGCAGCAGTTAAGGAGCCAAGGCGAAAAAAATGTTTGTAAATATTAAAATGAATTTATGTGCAGCGCAAAAGTTTTTAATTAAGTGAAAAGCGAAAACACGAGTGTGCAAACGATAAAAACGCGCAACCAAAAAAAGGGAAATAAAAATCATCGAGAGAGAGCGAGTGAATTAGAGCAACGAGCTTAAATATTTGAAGCGATGTTCGAGCAGGCCGAGCCCAATTTATTTGCATACTTAATGGCCGTTCAGTGAGCCCTGAAATCGAGCAGAATACTAACTAAACCGTAATCAGCAATCGGATTGGAAGCCCAGCTAAAACCATGACCATCACCGTCTCATTCCTCATCTGCCTGATTCTGGTAGCCAACATTATTACCTTTGCCAATTCGCACGAACATGCCGATGGCTTCAAGCCAGGTGAGTAATATACAATTTTTTTCCCTATCAATCGCTGGATAATTAAAAATTATTAATTTAAGCCAATGTATCTGTTTTTTATTTTTATTTTCTCCTGACTATTATATGTATTTGCCCTGCCATTTGGCGTATTTGCTCTGGGTCCGTTTCATTTATAATGGCAATTTTTCCATATCCCCTTTGTTTACAACCAATTTTTTTCCAACCTTCAGAGTTTGGGCTTTAAAAACGCGAGAGTTGTTTTTTTTTATGGTTTTGTTTTTGAAACTTTTGTCTGACGCAAAGTACAAATAAAATTTAATTATGCAGCAAAAGTTATATACTTTTAATTAGTCGTTTGTGACTTTTCTTCTTCCTCGGAAGCAGCCAAGTCAGGGAAAAGTCTGTCAAGAGATAAGGTTTATTTGGCTAATTAGGCAGAAGACTGTTTTGTCTTTCGTTTTCGTTTTTTTGTGTAAATGAAATTTAAATGCAAATATGGCATATCCTGATGTATACATGTGTTATATCGAAAGTGTGCGAGTTTTTCCCTTAGCAATTTATTCATTTCCCCTGACGCGTTGCCCTTAATTGAACATTTAAATCCATTGTTTGAAGTTCAGTACATATTTTTTCCAACCAAACATTTAAAAATGTGGTCAACGGTTTGTTTTTTTTTGTATATTTTCGTTTGCATAAGCGAAAAAAAGTTTCTCCCAACCAACGGTAGAAATGTTTAAATTAATATGGAAAAGAAAGAAATGTAAAATTTGTGCAATTTTTACAACTTCATTATGGATTGCCGTGGCTGTTTTTTCCTGGGCGACATGTGCGCACTTCCTTCCTTACCATGGCCAACGCCATTGCCATCGCTATTGCCAGCCAGTAATAAACGCCAATGTTGGCCACAAATCCACAAAAGCGTCACCTGTGTCACCTCTGCTGCTCCAGGATGCCAGGAGCAGCCCATCATCATTCTCGTCCTTCCACCTGGCAGGATGCTGCTGTTGCTGCGTTGCTGCCACTCCCTGCGGTGCCTCATTTTTGGCCCACTCTTCTGCCTCACCGGTCTCAGCCTCGCACCAAAAACAACAAAAAAAAAGAAATGCATAAATTCTCATTTTTATGTGTCTGCGTTGGACTTTACATTAGCTTTGCCACCGATGCTGCTCTTGCCCGCTGATTATCCCCCGAGAGCTATAAAAAATACATAACATGGCACAACTATATATAGTAAAGTAAATATATATATATATGTAGCATGTATGTGTGTTGTTATTTCACTGGATATGTGTGTAAAAATATATTTCGCTGTCCACTTTTGGCCAGGGGAATTTCGCCAGGCGCTGTGGTATGCGAAATTAAGTTAAAACCTGAACATTATCATATGGCACAGCGGTGAGGAATTTCACTAGCAAGGTTAACTTTATTTTATGGTTATAAATTATCGATCATTTGCTGCCTTATGCTACGATTTTCAAAAACGTGTTAGACACACCTGGCACATAAATTACGTAAAGCAAAATTAGAGGTAGAGGAGGTAAAGGTAGAGGCATGGGCGTGGCCCACTTTAGAGACGCTTTAATTTCATTAACCAACACTTGATGCTGTTGGACGGCGATGCGCTTACATAATAATTAGTAAAATAAATTTCACCTAAACACACAGAGCGCGAAAAAGGGCAGCATTTCTGAGAAGACAAACAATCCCCTCTCTCTCTCTCTCTCACTTTTCGTTCTTTCTATACTTTCACCATTTTGTGGAAGGTGCTTTCAAAATGGCCACGTCAAACGCACACGTTCACGACCCACTTACTCTGGGTCCTTTTCGTTCGGCGAAGGACACCATCAACGTTGGCAAATTATTTCCCATCATTTTTCACACAAAAAGCGCACAAATTTTTAGCAAGATGAAGATACATGCAAAGTGGCGCAGTGCAGGACAGCAGCAGCAGCAGCCGGTTGTCAGCAAGCGTCGATGTCCGGGAAGAATAATACGAGCAAGGACAGCAGTCGATGTCCTTGCTGGAATGAAAATCTAATTAAAGGCCGCCGAACGTGCAGTTTCCGGACTGCAGTTAACAGCTTTAGCTGAATGCTTTCGCGGAAAAACAGACGATGGCCAGACACAATGGCAAATGTTTTGGTAAGCAAAGCGGTCCATCTTGGCCAGATAACGTGGCCATTGAAATTCAGTGCGGAGGTTAAAAGGGCCATTATAGGGTCTGCTGTGGTTACAAATGATAGTTAGGATTCCGAAAATCAAGTTGGAGGTTTTTAAGGGCGGCTTAAAAGTGCTAGAAAGAGATTTTCAAGGAAATTGCTTTTAGGATTTGGTTAAGTTTGGGTTAGTTGGGTTTATTTTGAAGAGATGATGATTGATTCTTAATGAATATATTACAGTTTCTGCTATAAAATGAACTAAAACCTTCTTACATTTCATACTATTTTTAGAACTTGTGTTGATATATAACCAGAACAGCCTACCCTTTCATCGCCTATTTTCCAGAGTTAAGATCCATTTCTAGCTGGCAACACAATCGTTTTCTAATACAATTTCGGTGACAGGACACCAATAAAAGAAACATTTTGAGCAGCAGCAGTCAAAAGCAAAGCAAACCTCGACGAAAAAACTGTAAAAGCAATTCCTTGGCAAAAAAAAAAGAAGGAAAAACGAGAAAAAACGAGGAAAATGTAAAGAAAAATACAGAAGGAAAGGGCGCACAAATGTCAGTTTTCCCAGGACTCGACTAGCCGCACCACAACTACAGCTGCCACTACGAAAATATCCCTCTGTGTTTGTTTGTAGTGGTGCCCTAAACAACATTTCGTCGAATCGTTTACCAATTTTTCTGACTGCTGCAAATCAAAAACGAGAAAACGACAGAAAATTTCTCGCCAAGCCAGGAGCTGCAAGAAAAAAAAAACCAAAAAAAAACTTTTTAAATTAACTAAAAAACAGCAAACACAAAGAGGGTTGGGTGAGGGAGGTAGTAGGTGGATGAGTGGGACACGTTGTCGCTGGTGCTGGCATTCGGTTTGAGTATTTTAGAGCAAAGTGGAAAACTTTTAGTGGCATGTTTACAAAATAAACTTCAGCTTGCAAAACGGCCAGAAATAAAGAAAAATGCTGATTGCTACCAACAACACAGTGTGGCCGAAAAAAAAAAAAAAAAATTATTATTATGATGCGTGGGTGGTTGGGTGGGCGGTGGGTTGGGTATATAGTATAGTAGCTCTTATGTATCAGCTGACACACATTTTCGGGGCAAGGTAAGAACAACGAGAGAGAGAGACCAGGCTTTGCCAACTTTTGTTTGGTTTGTTGTCACTGTCACTGTGTGTAGGCCAGAAAACTTTTTTACACCAGTTTTTTATTTTGCTTGTCTTTTTTTTTCTTGTTTTTTGTGTTTTTCTTTTTTGGAAGGTTTTTCCATGTCGCCAATGTTGTTGTTGTTGCTCGTGCTTTTTCTGCTGACAGTTGGGCAAACAAAGCATAATTTTTAATCTGGCCGAGCAAACATTGTTACATATGCGACACACACACTCTACCATTCAGTCTTCCTGCCAAAAAAGCCAAAAAATATGGGGAGGAAAAAAAATTAAATAAAATAAAACTGAAAACTCCACCTGAACGTGGCTTTTAGCTTGATTGTTGATGGGCCACAGCAAAAGCAACAGTGGCCGTAGCGCCAAAAAAAGGAGAAAATTATGTTTATTTGGCTTTGGCCCCGATTTGTTGCGCATACGCAGCGTATGACGCCGTACGTGACAATATCATCAAGTGGGGTTCCCGGGAATCTGTTGATTTAGCGTTTTTCAACTCTCTGCTTTCATAAAATGATTTACGCCACATGGGTAAAACTAATTAACAACTTGGCTGAAAGAGGTTGAAATTTATCCAAAATATTGGGTGAAAAAATGGGATTTTTAAATGAAAACTAAAGCAATTTTAAGAATTATAGAAAATTAAGATGGTTAAAGAGAGGACTTATACAATCATAAATATGAAAACCTCAGACATTTTCTTACTCAGCCATAGTTTTACAACTCTTTCTCTTTTTTACTATTCCCTAAAGCTAAAATTAATGAACCTGTCGGCTGAGCACTTGCATTGGTAATGTTAAGTATGACAGTTATTGGCATCATTTAGTCGAAAAGCGTTGCCGGCTTATTAATGCGTAATATGCGGTGCTCGGAGGGTCTGTTGAGCATTTGATTTTTTCCTGTCTGCAACTGACATTTAATGACCACAGACAACACACCACACACAGACACATGTTATTTGCGGTTCGGCGTTTAAAATTCAAGTTCAGGGCATGTGGCCTGCCTTTTGATAGACAGACCAGACATACGGACGAACAGCTGGCAGTGACAGGCGGTATGCGAATGGTTTGGGTGTACGGACCCTTGTCTAGACTCCTTTTCGGAAAAACGCCCATTCAGGCATGACAAATGGGCCCCGTTAGCTTGGCTGGCGAATGCCAGGCTTCGGAACGGGTTGTTGTTTGCAAATTTCTTAACACGAAATTAGTCGCCACAAACAAATGGCAAACAAACTGCTGCAGACGAGAGACAGTTAGCTGGGTCTAATCGAAAGCAAATAAAATGCATGCCATACCTGCATGCCATAAACTGTCACTTGCATTGTGCCAAAGACACTCACGCAGACAGGGCACACGGACAAAGTCAGACAGAACACTGAAAAGAAAATAGGGGTAAGATGTTTTTAGGTTGAAATAATAGATAGAAGTAGTTTATTAATAATGAATGTATCCTTAAAAACTTTTGAGTTTGTTTAAATCTTAAAAATGCCTGTTTTTACTTTAGATCTACCTTCTTAATCTGTAAACTTGTTAATAAAACTTATTTAAAAACACGAATACAATGATCATAAGCTAGTTTAATAATGTTTTAAATGTTTACCAACAACTTCTAAACCTTTCTCTTCAATTCCCAAATTTGTATTGTCAACATAGATGCGATATGGAATCAGATAATTGTGGCTGAGAGTTCTCGATT